CACACACACACACACACACACACACACACACCGTTTCCTCATTGTGTGCTCTTGGCACTTGTTGGTTCTTTATGCCACTTGCTGTGTGACCTTGGATGAGTGCTGTTCCTCTCTGGGCCTGGTTCTACCATCTGTACAATGAAGTCCTTGGACTCAGTCATCCCTGTGTATCTTGCCAGACTGATGTTCTGGGTCCACTCTGTCTGTGGGTTCCCAGCCCTCTTTTCACAACTCTCAGGCTCCAAGTGCACTGTATGGCTCCTCAATTCCAGAATCCCAGAGACCTTGGGAGTTTCCTGGGCCAACCTCAGCCCTGTATCCTTATCTCACAACATCCCCTAAGGTGCTAATCCAGCTCAAGCCCACACTCCAAAAACAGGGAGCTCTTTCTCTCCTTGTGCCTTTCTTATCTTTGGACAAGTCTGGCAGTCAGAAAGTTCTTGTCATTCAGCTGAGATCTGCCTGCCCAGCCCTAGTCCTGACCTCTGGACTCCCACATGTTTCTACCCCTCTGCCCTGTGAGTTCACCAAGAGCTCGAACCCCACTGTGCTTTTACACGCCTTGGCCCATTCAATCCTCAAGAGGTTTGGGTCCGGTTATTAGACCCACTTTATGGACGCTCTCAAAGAGGTTGAATAATTTCCTAAGACCTCACCACACAGTAAGACCTGAGTTCTGCTCTTAATTCATGCTTTTTATGTCAGTTTAGCAATATTGCCCCTACTGAAGCTACTTTGGAAATGTGTGGAGTGTTTTGAGCTATCATAATAGCATGTAGTGGGCTTGGGCTAAATTATACCATTATTGTTGCCCATGGACATAGACGCTTATAAAGGGACTGGGAGGGGATGGACAGGACTCCACCATCCTCACAAAATGCAGGCATTTTGAATAAACCTGTTTTTCTTTCCACCAAAAAAAAAGGGGGGGGGCGCTGGGAAAGAATATAGGAAACCCTTCTAGATTAGGGCCAATCCTGCGAGTCTTGAAGGATGAGTAAGAATTCGCCAAGTGCAGAAGTGAAGGAGGACATTCCAGGTAGAAGAATCACCTTGAGCAAAGGCCAGGAGGAAGCAGTGGAGCTTGATCAGGGTGAGAAGAGTGGGCCAACAGGCAGGCAGGGTCCCCTAGGCCCACAGCCCTCTCACCCCTGTCTGTCTTTCCTTGTTTCTTCGGGCCAGATGGGGCAGTGGTGTGCACGCTCCAGTTCCCTAGCCCCAGCTGGTACTGGGACACGGTGACCAAGATCTGCGTGTTCCTCTTCGCCTTCGTCGTGCCCATTCTCATCATCACCGTGTGCTACGGGCTCATGCTTCTGCGCCTGCGCAGTGTGCGCCTGCTGTCAGGCTCCAAGGAGAAGGACCGCAGTTTGCGGCGCATCACGCGCATGGTGCTAGTGGTGGTGGGCGCCTTCGTGGTGTGCTGGGCACCCATCCACATCTTCGTCATCGTCTGGACCCTGGTGGACATCGACCGCCGCGACCCTCTCGTGGTAGCCGCGCTGCACCTGTGCATCGCCCTCGGCTATGCCAACAGCAGCCTCAACCCCGTGCTCTACGCCTTCCTCGATGAGAACTTCAAACGCTGCTTCCGCCAGCTCTGCCGCTCGCCCTGCGGCCGCCCGGAGCCCAGTGGCTTCAGCCGCGCCCGCGAAGCCACGGCCCGCGAACGGGTTACCGCCTGCACCCCTACCGACGGCCCCGGCAGTGGCGCCGCCGCCTGACCAGGACCGACCGGCCCGCCGCACACCCCTCCGGAGTGACCTGGTGGTCACACCAAGTTCTAATGGGGGCGGGGGCCACCACGCGGAAGGGAGCCGGCGGAGGCCGTTTTGGAGAAGGGGGCTGGGCTTGAGACGAGGCAGGGGCAGAGACATGGGTCCCCTGAAGTGGGTGGACCGCTGGTCTGGGGCGGGGCAGAGGGCAGGACAGTGGGGCGGTGCCTCTGGGCTGAGTGCGTGGTCAAGGGCTCTGGGCTGTGGGGCGGGAGGAGGAGGAGCTAGCGACTCCAGAGGGTGGGACCTGTGGCTCTAGCGCTGGGCAGGTAAGCAGGGTCTCTACAGTGGGGCAGGACCACAACCTTGGCACAGCCTCGAGTTCTAACCCTGAGCCGAGCTTGCGGGAGGGGGGATCCTGCTGGAGACCTGAAGACCTCGGGCCCAGGTCTCAAGAGGGGCGGTGGTTTGAGAATGGAGCCGCAAGACTGGGCCAGGCCTCTGTGTGGTGAGGAGGGGCGTCTTTTGGAGTGAGCCGGAAGGACAGGACAGTGAGCCGTGGCTACTGCTCAAGATTGGGCCGCAGAGATAGGGCCTCTGTGCAGGAGATAGGGGCCTCAATTTTGGGGTAGAGTCCCAGCCCCAAGTTCTAGCAAGAGGCGGGGCTTGCTGCGAGCCTCAGCTTGACATCTTTATAAATAAAGAGAAATTAAAATAGAGAGGGAGAGAGAAATATATACCTTCTCTCTCCTTGACAGTCATTTCCTTGGAATGGGCAGACGTGCCTCAGCATCGAAGTAGGGTCCCCAGCACTGCGTCCCACTGGGGGTTGGGACACGACAACGGAGCAGGGCCAGTAGCTCCCGAGTAGGGTAGTGGGACAGGGCCTTAGCTTGGGTAGGGTCTCCAGCCCCCAGCTCTATCTGGCCACAGAAGGAATGTGGAGGTCTTGCGGCTTCCGTTACAAAAAACAGAGCTGCAGGTCAGCCTCTGTACCAAAGGTGGTGGGCGGTGGGCGGAGGTGGGAAGTGGGAGGTGGTTCTGCTTTGAGGTTAAGTCTTGGAGCCAGAGGGCAGATGCTTTGGGGGGGGGGTCTCTAGAACCCTGGCTTCTCCGGCCCAGGAGCTGGAGGACAGAAGTCCGCAAGTTAGAGCTCTCTGGAGAGTAAGTACACCTGGACCTGGGTGGGGTGTTTGAAATGCCAGTTCAGTTTCCCTCCTTCCGGTCTCTGGGTCTTTGGCTCCTGAGAAGAGCCTCCTAGAAACCCTCTCTCCCTTCTCCCAATATGTGGCTGTGCCCAGTGTGTCCAGTGAGCTGACACTGCCCGCACAGGGACCTGACTCTGAAGGAACTGGAGGGTGTAAGTGGAGGGGAAGCTTTTATAACTGTAATGCTAATGGCAGTGTGTGCTCCCCTGTCTCTTTTCCCCCAGACTCCCAGGTCCCCCTCTGCTCTAGCTGCCCCCTCCAAGCTGCTGACAGGGGAGTTCCACCCAGAGCTAGGCATAGTTCTCTTTATTTTATTCAGGCATTCTCAGATCTCTGCTTCCCCCAATATCAGGGTCTGTCCTTGTTTCCAGTGCCTCCCCCATGCCTCATCTCCCCCACCCCCCACTCTCCCCTTCCTCACAGACACTGCCTCAGTCATAAATTCTGATTCCCTATTGAAGCAGTGTTCTGACATCCTTGTAAAAACAAATTTAATTTTCTTCCCTTTTTGGGACAGATAGAAAGAAATTGACGTCTTTGTCTCAAGCAAAAAGAAAAAAAAAAGAAACAATATACCTCTTCTTCCTTTGACAGTCATTTCCTTGGAACAAAAGCCTTTCCTATCTGGGAGGCTGTCACTCTGACAGGGGCTGAACTAGCATTCAGGGAGTTGGGGAATTAGAAATCGAAAGGGGCTTTGGACACATTAGGGGTAGGGATGCCCTTAGTGGGCAAAGCATAGTCCATTTCTCAGGGTGAGGTTCCCGGAAGCCGCAGACCTGGGAATTTTTTTCCCACAGGAAAGGCCCCACTAGTGCCCTGGAAGGTGTGGGGCAGCGCCCAGCACTCGGATCCAGCCTACTAAGCTATCTAGGCCTGAGGTCTCAGCTCACCTTATCACCTTCGCCATCCACATGGAGCCTGTGACCATCGAGACCTCTGTGTCTGAATGGGGCGGGTGTCAGCAAGGCAGGAACACTCCTGGACACTCCTTTTCACTTTGGGACCCTTCCTGAGAATGCCTTGGGAAGATGTCAGAGGAAGGGGACAATTTACGAACTGGGGGAGACTTCTGAAGGAGGTGACATTGGATCCAGTTCTGTTTATTCTTGCAAGGAAGAATAAACCTCTTCAACTTCTCTCAGGACACGCCTGTCTCAAGGCTGCTCCTGGCCTGCTCACTGATACTTCCTATGGCTATGACAGATCTGGGTCCCTTTTACCATTTCTCATATATATATTTGTCCTGAGCTTAGCAGGGGCTGGGTCCAGACCACGTGCATTTAAGGTACAGCAAACCATATTGAAATCTACTTCACTCCTGGCTGTGCACGTTGGGCACTGGAATTTGGAAATGAGTCAAGTACACCTCTGCCCTCAGAAGGTTTGAGCCTGTGCAGGGAGACGAAGCATAAACAGATCACTGCATCTCAGTGTGATGCGTGCAGTGACAGGGAGCCCAAGGGAAGGTGTCACAGGAAAGTGCCTTTTCCAGCTTTTTACCAAAACATTTGTAGCAATTCTGGAAGAGGTAGAAAGGTATCATAAGGCCTTAAAGGATGACTAGGGGTTGGTCACCCTGAAGAGGGCACAGCATGTGCAAAAGCATGAAAATGTTCAAGTGCTTGGCCAACCTGAGAAGCTGTGTGCAGCTGGAGCATGGGGCTTAACAGCGTTTCTGATGCCAACCCCAGGTGGACATTGGGTGGGGCCTGGGAAAAATAGTATTACCCTTATTTTAGATGAGAAGTCAGACCCAGAGAGGTAAAGCCAGTCGCCCCTAAGTCACAGAGCTTGTTAGTGGTGGCAGAACTCAGGTCAGTAGAAAGCCAGGGTCCAAGTTTCCAGTGAATTCCAGGCATCATAAAAGTAGAAGGGCCCTTAGAAGCTAGAACCCAGGATGAGGTTTTTGAAGACTTAAAACCAAATGGAAAAATCTGAAGGAAAGGGCAATTTTCCATGAACTTTTGTTCCTCCTGGCACTCTCTAACTCTTCACATTTCAAAATGTACTGTGCACGATGCATTTTAAAACTCCACATTGACAGTGTAATTCTAGATCATCACAGGGCTCTCAAAGCTGTGGAGTAGGTCTGATTTCCCCCAAAATTTCCATTCCTCTTTCTTCAGGAGGTGGGAGGGAAGTTTTTGCCTCTAGTTTCAAAATGTCCTACAATTTCAGTGGTCGAGGCTAGAGTCAGGTCTTGGCTTTCCCTCTCTGTGCCTCAGTTTCCTCCTGTAATGTATGTACAATAAGAAAGATTAATAAAAACAAGATACTTATTTTGCAACCCGCTTGTTCTAGTTCAGGGTTGCGGGTAGCCAGGGCCTCTCCCTGCAGCTCAGCATACAAGGCAGGACCCACCCTGGACAGGACACCTTTCCTTCACAGGTCCACTCACACACACGCCCACATTCACTCAGACTGGGACCATTTAGACACACCAATTCACCTCACATGCATATTTTTGGGATGTGGGAGGAAACCAGAGTCCCTAGGAAAAACCTACATAGGCATGGGAGAACGTGCAAACTCCACACAGTGGCCCTGGCCAGGAATCAATTGGGCTTTTGTCTCATCAGTGTTACAATGAAATAACATTGGATGAAACATTATTCGAGGACCTAGGTAAGTCCTTAGCACATTAGTAAGCTCTTAGCACATGGTAAGTTGCCTTCATTACTTAAAAATGGAGTTGCAGGGCCCGCCGAGTGGCACGTTGGTTAAGAGCTGGCTTGGGACACCAGAGGACCTCGGTTCGGATCCCACATATAAGGGCTAGTGACACTGCCCTCTACAGCTAAGATGCTGAGCAACAGCTCAACCTGGAGCTGGGCTGCCGTGAGGCGACAGTGTAGGCTGCAGCCCCTGCTGTAGTGGGTTGCCATGGGCTACCCTGTGTAGCCAGCAGCCAGCGTGAGCGGCCAGCAGCCGCAGTGAACAGCCGTCCAGAAGCCGGCGACTGATCTGACTCGCCTGGGAAGAGCGCAATGATGGTGCCAACTTGGGCCAGTGAAGCAACGTCCTCCACAACTAGACTGAAGAACAAAAGGACAGCAACTTGTCTGTTCCCCTCCCTCCAATTCCCCAGCGCTGTTTCCATCCCCCAATTCCCCAATAAAAATCTTTAAAAAAAAAATTTAAAAAAAAATCCTTTAAAAAAAAAAATGGAGTTGCAATGCAAGGTCAGAGCTAGAGACCTAGAAGGAAAGTAGATGATCTTTCAGGACTAGTAATGAAAAGAGAGAAGAAACTGGGGACCCAGCCTGGGGATCCTTCTAGGCTCAGGAGACGCTGTGGAGAGTGAGAAGCTGTTGAGAAGGAGGAGGATGGGGAGAATGTGTTGCCATGGAAACTGGAGGATGAGGGCGTTCCCAGGGGGAGGGAGTGATGGATAATGTCAAGTGTCATATAAGAGAGTCTGGGAGTGGGGAGGGCAGGAGGGTGATGGGAATAAACCGGAGTACTCAAGTTTAGTCTCCCACATGGCCTGGGAAGCCCCAAACCTGGATTTAAATCTCAGCTCTGAAGCTAACTGGCTGTGTGACTTAGGCAAGGGATTTGCCCTCTCTTGAGTTTCTGTTTCTTCCTAGGTCAAAGATGAAGGAATGAGTCAGTCTCTAATATGATGCTTAGTCTCTAATAAGATTCCTGATTTTGCTAGATTCTTGGCCACTTACTAGCAGTGTGATCTTAGGCAAGTCACTTCACTTCCAAGAGCCCACTCTGAAGGCTAGAGGTGGTGCGGGTGAGGTGCTTACCAAAGTTCCTGGCATGTGGCAGGTCCCCAACACAGGCTTATTTTTATAACCATGATGGGGTTGCCAGAGGCAGCTGTCTAAGGGGGTTTGCTTGGCTTCCAATTTGAAGTGCTCCTCCAGGGAGAGAGGGGCTGCCAGAGTCCTGAGAGGACTTGAAGGAGCAACAATGCAGGCTGAGCACCTGCTAGGTCCACCCAAGGACCAGCTCTCTCTGTTTTCAGCAACAGCTTCCTAGCCCAGGGCCTGGCCTCTGGCTGCCTTCCCTGCCTGGAAACTACTGCAGATCCATGTGGGAGCATCTCAGCAGGCTCCAAAGCCCCTAGGAAGGGATGCCCCTGGGTTGTGGCCCCAGCACTCACAGACAAAACACATACACACACCTTTCTCTCATTATGGATTTATTCATTATTATTTATTCTTTTATTTCTTGGCACTGAGCGCATAGTGCTGGGAGCTGGGGGGAGTCTGGGCCCGGTCCCCCACTCTGAGCTTGCAGATGTTGGAAGACTGGGGACTAGGATGGCTGGCTGTGTGGTTCTGGTGGCAGGCAGCTTGGGATTTCAAAATGGGCCGCAGAGAGGGACTGGTGAGGGCCTTCAAGATGGACATCATGATGGAGTAGAGCGCTAGGCTGGGGGTTGCCCAGGTTCTAGCCCTGTCACCTCCACTGGCCATGAGCCCACCTGGGGCCCAGCCCTTCCCAGAGTGCAGAATGCTTTCACACACCCTTCTCAGTGAGAGGCCCATGTGATGACAGTAGGTAATACACAGCATGTAGAGCTTGTCATTGACCTAAGCACTTTACATAGGGTAATTTATTTCATCTTCACAGCATGACGATGAAGCAGGCATTATTATTATTACCTCGATTTTACAGATGAAGAAACTGAGGCTCAGAAAGGGGAATGACTGGCCAAGGCCACATGGCGTGTTGATGGCTGGGCCATCAAGGATCCCATCTGAGATCTGTCAAGTCCGTTTCCTCTGCTTTCCTTTTCCTGTCTCCCAAGAGGAACTCAGCGATTCCACAGAGGACACCAGGGAGACCTGTGCCCAGCTCACAGGCATGGACTGGGCATTCCCGGTGCCAGGTTCTGTATCTCAGCACCTTGGCAAGAGAGCCACATGCCAGCCACCCAAGAAACTGCTGTGACCTTGGCAGGTCCCTTTCCCCATTCATTCCCTCCCTGCCTTGGAAGACCTGCTTGCTCTGTAATTTCTCGACTGCCTGCCATAACTTTGCTGTATAACCTTGGGCAAGTCACTTCACTCTTTGAGCCCATTTCCTCAACCTGGATGACCATGCTTACCTGGTAAGAACTTGTGAAGATTTAGAAAGCTACGAGTGAAAGACCTTGACTGTTTTGGTCAAGAAAATGTTCCCAGCAAGTTGCGCTGCAACTGGCACACAGTAGTTATTCTACCCAGTGGATGAAAGACGTGCCTGGTGCATAGTAAGTGCTCGACAAATGAAGTTTTTTAATATTATGTAGTGTTTTTAGATTACATGTGCCGACCCATGTCTCTTAATGCTGTAGCAGGTCAGGAGCAAAGGACTTCCTCTTTTAACCATCTCCTTGAGTTTCAGAAGGTGGGACAGAATGCATCGGAGAAGAAATTATCAAGAGAATGTCTTCTCCCCAAGTACCTTATACATAGCTGTCCCCTTTTGTCCTCACCAGGACTGCTCTCCCAGGTACCTGGGTGGCACTGGCCTAGGCCTTGGAGCCTGAACGTTTGAGTCACGGGGATGGAGTCCTTTGGTGGGTGTCAGTGCAGGTGACATCCATCTGAAGGGACTCATCTTCTAGAATCTTCTCTTGGAAGGAGTCCCAAGCCAGGAGACAGGGACTGTGGGTTGACTCTCTTTGTCTTCCACTTCCTTGCTGTGTGACTTTGGGCAAGTTTCTGTCTATCTCTGGGCCTCTACACAATGGAGGGACAGAGGTAGGTGCTGATGGGTTCTGGGGGCTCTGGGAGAGAACAGAGACATTTTCCTCATGTTCCTTGACCCCAGAAATAGATATCTATTGGTAAAATCCCCTGGGATTTGCCAAGAGGCAGGGAAAAGGATGCCTGGGGGTCTGGTGTTTATAATTGGAGCTGCTCTACTTTGGGGTGAAGGAAGCAGCCATGTCACAAACGAAGCTTGACTCAAACACCTGCCTATCCCAGGTCCCATCTTGGTACTAAAGACTCAACCTTCTGTTTTCCCAATAAACTGAGCACTATTCTTAGCCTCTGCATCTCTGGCTATTTCTTTTGCTCACCTTCTGTGATTCCCTTGTGTTGGGGGGCCCCCAGTCTGGGGGTGGGGGGGTGATATAGACCTGCTCACTCACACTGGGTAGAAACTATAGCCCTACCCTCAGGACCTGTCTTGGAGGGAGACAAAACACTGTCCTTAAGAACCCTGTCTGGTTGGAGAGACAGACACGCAGGTAGCTGTAGCCACTTCCTAGAGTAGGCCCCAAACCAAACCAGGCCCCTGGGCCCCTACTCCTTCTCCCGCCCTCCAATTGGCTCCTCCTTTTCCCCTGTGGCCCACCCCTCTCATCTAAGTCCCTTGTTCTCCAGAGCCCTTCCTATCCCACATGCCCCTCGGGACTCCCTCTAACTCCCGCTTCCCGCCACCCTACTCCCACCTCACTTCCATCCCCCTGCCCCACAGTGACCTTGCCTTTGGCTCCAGAAGCCCCAAACCTCTGTGCATTCAAGGCAACCCTGGGTGTGGGAGTTACAGCCTGATGCCCCAAGAGACCTTCTCCACCTCCTCAGTGTTCTCAAATATTGGTTGGTCCTGATGGTTAATAAGTAACTCTCTGGAAGGGAAACTTCCTGGCCCAGGACCTGCCTTCCCACCACGTGTGACCCGATACTTAAGAGGGCACCAGGACATGGAGCCCCTTTTCCTCTTCTGGGGCAATCTTCCTTCAGAGACCCAGAGCCTCAGCCCCGGGCAGCCCACCTGGGGCTGCTGTGCCAAGGTGATGAGCATCCAGGTGGTGGGATGCCCTGACTCAGCCTGGGATCTCAGCCCCCCTCAGCTGTAGACTAGGGGCAGCAGCTGGACAGGGCTACTAGCCTTCCCAGGGAGCGGAAGGAGCTTGGTGGCTGGGCCTCAATTTGCTCACAGAGAGGGACTCAGGTCAAGGAGACTTCACAGAGGCCTGCCAGCTGCACCCAGAGCTAACTCCCACTGAGACTGGGCAGGACATCTCTAAAGGTGAGAGACGGGGGGGGCGGGGAGAGAGAGAGAGAGAGTTGGCACAGCATGTGCAAGAGCAGCTGGGTGTTTATTTGAACACCTGTGCCAGTGGAGATTTTTCATTTCCTTCTGTGTACACCCCGAGGAAAAGCATATCTATATGACCATGCTGGGCATCACTTTCCTCTTTTGTAAAATAGGATAACAATTATTATAACTCACTTATCAGGACTTTCCTGAGGACCCAATAAGACGACTGCTGTGCAAGGTAACTAGGGCACATTATTATTGTTGGGAAACACACTCTGCCTTTAGCCTTCAATAACTCCCAGTTGCTTGAAAAATCCAGATGACCTCCCCCCTTCCCAGTGGAGGATTCTAGGAATCTAAGTTCAGTCTTGCCTGTCTGCAACCTCAAACTCCCTCGGAGGGAGAAGGGAACCCTCCACAGGAAGAGAACTGGGGCCTAGCCCAAGGGCAGGCAGCTCTCAAAGAAGTGGAGCAGGCAGGGCAGACTCCTGTCATGTGCCAACTTCATCACCCTTCCAGGTCAGTTCTACTTCCTCTGCCTCCAGGAAGCCTTCTGTGATTGCTCTGTACTGACCTTTCACCTCCCTTGAATCCCTCACAGTGGCTACCAGGACTCCCCCACACTGAGCAAGAGCTACTCTTTCTCAACAGGCTGCCAGGCCCCCACAGCATCGCCAGACACATGGGAACCCTGCTGCTCCCTAAGAGTAAAAGGAAAGATAGTAGAAAGGAGCAGGTTTTTATTCCTTCAATAACATTTATGGTTA